TTTTAAAAATTATTTATATAGACTTTTAACATATGTGGGTAATGAAAAATGAAGCTCCTTATCTCAGAACTTGAAAAAAAAAAAATTTCTGAGAGTTACTGTTTTGGAGCTTAGCAACTATGTATGGTGTCAATTTGGAAGACTAAGGTACGGCTTCCAGGTATGAATAGACTAAAGGAATTAAATACTAAAAATTTAAAATATGTGAGAGGGCCGGCCAAATAGCTCAGCGGATTAAAGCACTTGCGAGCAGGCACACAGGCCAGGGGTTCGATTCTTGGGCCTGCTGTGCCGGCCCCGCCTCCAGGACATGCTGAGACAGCAATTAGGACTGGGCATTGTAGCGTGCTTGTAGTCCCAGCTCTTGGGAGGCTATAAACAGGAGAATCACTGAGTCTGATCTAGTAGTGAGACCCTGAACACCATATAGACCCTTCTCTAAAATACAAATAATAATAATGATGAAAAATAAAATACATGAGAGTCTCAGAAGATAACACTGGCATTCTGATTTGTCTCTCCAGATAAATCAGTAAGATGGTGTTGCAGTTTTCTAAGGCAGTGTCTGTGACCTTAGAATTCTGTCTGGATTTTATCATCTCAGGGTAGAAAATTTAGGGTTCTGAGCCTGAGTGAACATCCCCTTCTAAACTCCTATATGCTGCACTAACATTTATAAAGTCTGTGTTTGAAATTTTATACCTTAAAGCCATTATTAAAAGGGAAAGAAAGCTAATTCATATATTTGGTTTATTTGTACATAACTTTCATTTTCTACTTAATAAATCGGAGAATAGAAATCTCCAGATGTGATGTTATATTGTTATGATATAGTGTTTACTGCAATAGAAGGAATGATTTATCCCATTATTCCGTTTATGCTTGTGTGTTAATTGGATAAATTCTGAAATCATGCCTTTTTTAACTTGGGCAAAGAAAACATTTCATAAACATACATAGATAAGAAATGGAATAGTAGAAGCATAATATCTAGAAAAGGACTTATTTTTACAGTTACCTTGTTTTGGGTCTTTTTTTATTTTATTGTATTTTTTTGGTTGAATTGCTTTTTAGGTAAGGTATATTTTTTTGGTTTTTTGGTGCTAAGGACTGAACCCAGGGCTTCCTGTATGCTAGGCAAACATTCTACTGCTGAGCTAAATCGCAAGCCCCTAATTATTTTTATTGTACAGAATGAGATTCTGCCCTGAGCACCATAGTATTACTAAGAGAAAAAGAAAAAAAGGAAAGAAAACAGAAGGATCTGTCAACATTGTTACTTTTGAAGAATATTTGAATAATGAATAGAGATAAACCATGAGATAAGTGATAAATATGTTTATAAATTTTGAAGACTATCCTGTGGAAAATGACAAGGACATTGCTCCTTATGTCTGCAAGGGATAAAAACAGAAATCATATGTAGAAATTGATAGAAAGATTTTTTTGTAATCATATGTAGTGTGTTATTTAGCTTCTTATTATTGTGACAGAAAACTGAGAAAAAATAACTTAAAGGAAGATTTAATTTAGTTTATGACTTCAGAGAGTTCAGTACGGGTCACTTGGCTCCATTGCTTAGGGACTTGTGGTAAAGGCAGAGCACCGTGGCAAGGAGCTTATGGTAGAAAAGAGCTCCCTATTTTATGGCAGATAGCAAGAAGGAAGGGAGGGTAGACAAGACATACCCTCAGTGACCTCCTTCCTCCAACTAGGTACAGCCTTCTAAAGTTTTGACCCCTCTCAGTAGCCTGCCTATGAAGCTATAAATCTATCAGTAGATGAGATTAAAGCCTTCATAATCCAGTCATCTTCCACCTGCAAGCACTGCTGTATTGGTGACCAGGCCTTCAACACATGGGCTTTAGAGGACATTTCATGTTCAAATCATAACATACAGGAATACAATTACTAAAATTAGAGTTGAAAAGAAATTTTCTGTGTAATATAGGAATACTTTTACTAACAGTGCCAGTAACTATGGAAAGATTATCCTTTCATAGAGCAAATCACTTTCACACAGACTACAAAAACAGAGATTGATTATGTTAAATCTGTTTAAAAAGGAGTTTTTACGTGGGGTAGAAAGTTGGGTACAAGATAGTAGATAATTCTCTTAAAAGTAATTTTGTGACAAGTTTTGACTCAGAAGGATCTCAAAGAGGAAACTCTACCATTTATATCTTTATTACATATGTATTTTCAAACTTTTGAGACTAGAAAAAATTGGGTATGGTTAGAAAGATTTTCCCTTTCAGTTAAAAAAGGAAAGCATCAGGTTAGAATCAGTATGAGATAAAAACTTGATGAAGCCATTTTTTTTCAGTTTTGATGTCCATCCATGTTTCTGAATAATGCTATTTTAGACCTATTACCTGATTGATTCAGTACTTATACTGCTATTTTTGGTCTACCCCTGAACTGAATATCCCTTGCTTTACCTCTTCTATTTTTCTTTCTTCCCCCATTTCAAAATACAGTGTTTACGTATTTATGGAAATATCGTTAAGTATTTCAGTAAGGCACTTTTTAAAAATTACTGGGTTCTCACTCAAACTGTTGCATGTGTATATTTAAGGACAAGATGAAAGGAAAATTATAAGGAAGAGTATATTACTAGATACGTTAATCCAGGATATTGTACAGGTATTAAAATAGGAATTGTTTCTTCTCACATAAGAGGAATTATAATGTCTATTTACAGTAATAATTTGCAGATGCTATAGTAAAATATTAATAAGACAAAGTATGTATGCTTTTCTTTCTAAAATTACATTTTTCCGATTTTTTTTTCTTTTAACTATTATGGTCAATTAGATAAATTATTAGCATCTGAGATGCTCTTTTCTCATGAACATACTCATCAATAAATTTAATATACCTAGTTCACTGTGCAGAACTACTCACAGAAGTTCAACTGAAGATGATTCATCTTCTGAAGAAGAAATGGAATGGAATGATAACAGCTTGCTTCTTGCCAATCTTTCTATACCTCAGTTAGATGGAACTGCAGATGAAAATGGTGGTAAGTAGTGTATAATGAGCATTTGGTTATTTAGGACTTAAAAATATTTTAAAACTATCATATTTACTCTATGGTTGACTAAGTCTGTTGTGACGCTGTCATGTTTTGACCTTCTCTGGAATTTTTCTTCATTTGAAAGAATGTAGATACAGACTTTTCATTTCTAAGAGGATATAGTATTGGCAATTACCAACTTCGTGCTTTGCAAACTTTTTTAAAAAATTATTTATTTATTTGGTTCAGACTCGTGGTGATCCTCCTGTCTCAGCCTCCCCAGTGCTGGGATTACAGACATGCACTATCACTCCTGGTTTCAGGCTAGCATGGTATACCTGGTGTTCCATGGTTGGCATGGCATGAGACACCAGGTATGGAACCTGGGTCCTTGCACTTGCTAGGCAGGCACTTAGACCACAGAGCTATCTAGCCAGCCCATATCTTGTAAACTTTAATCAGTTTATAATATTACATTTAAGTAATACGGGGAACTAAGAAATATGCTCAGCTTACTTCACATATTAAAACATTTTATGAAAAAGGTTTTATATGACAGTATTTTTCTTTATTCTGCAAAAGACATTGTTATATTACCCCAATATAATCTTTTCCTAATCAAAAGAATGTGTGTTTAAAATAATAAAATCAGAGCCAAGGACATAGCTCAGAGGCACAAGGACCCTCCTGGTAAGCACAAGGTCCTGAGTTTTATTCCTGGTATCAATAGTAGTAATAGTAGTAGCAGCAGCAGCAGCAGCAGCAGTAATTCTAGATTTTGTTGAGATAACTTATTTTAACATATGAATTTAATTTCATGTAATTTTTTTTCCACATTGACAGTATTTTGATATGGAAATATTTTAAAAATCTAAAAAATGTAAAGAAAATAAATTATTATTTCTTCCATTCCAGATAATCCATTAAACAACGAAAATTCTAGAACCCACTCTTCTGTAATTGCAACAAGCAAGCTATCAGTAAAGCCCTCCATTTTTCATAAGGATGCTGCTACATTAGAACCCCCATCTTCTGCTAAGATTACCTTCCAGTGTAAACACACAAGTGCCCTTTCTTCCCATGTTTTGAACAAGGAAGATTTAATTGATGACCATCAACAACCAAACAATATAGAGAAGAATCTGGATAACTCAGTCACTTCTTTTACAAATGAAAGCACTTACTCACTGAAATCTTTAAATTGTACTGTCCATTCGGAAAATTCTCATAAAGAAAGTGGTAAGAAAGATACCCTTCCAGTATCTTCCTGTGAAAGTAGTATTTTTGATTATGAAGAAGATATTCCATCTATTACAAGACAAGTACCAAGTAGAAAGTACACAAACATTAGAAAGATTGAAAAGGATGCTCCTTTTATACATATGAGCCGTCACACTATCGAGAATACATTGGGAAAAAATTCTTTCAGCTTTTCTAATTTAAGTCAGTCAAAAAATAAGTTGCCCTCTGATGGACATGAAAAAGGAAACAGCACAGCTCTGAATAGTTTCTTTCCTTCATCATTAACTGAAAATTGTGAATTGCTTTCATGCTCGGGAGAGAATAAAACTGTGGTGCACTCTTTTGATTGTATTGCTGATGAGAGTGGACTAAACAAACTTAAAATAAGATACGAAGAATTTCAAGAACATAAAACAGAAAAGCCAAGTCTCAGCCAGCAAGCAGCACACTATATGTTCTTTCCCAGTGTTGTTCTTTCTAATTGTCTCACTAGACCACAGAAATTATCTCCTGTAACATATAAACTACAACCTGCCAATAAACCATCCCGGTTAAAATTGAATAAAAAGAAACTTGTGGGTCATCAGGAGACTTCCATCAAAAGTAATGAAACTGGATCCACAAAAGATTGTTGTGTACAAAATAATCCATGTAACAGTAATCCTGAGAAGGATAATGTGTTAGCTGGTGATTTAGTTAAAACCCCCCGTGGAGCTTTTGAAAACAAAACACCTACAGACAGTTTTTTAGACTGTCACTTTGGAGATGGAACCTTAGAAACGGAACACTCCTTTGGACTATATGGAAATAAATATACACTTAGAGCCAAACGCAAGGTAAATTATGAAACGGAAGATAGTGAGTCAAGTTTTGTAACACACAACTCAAAAATTAGCCTACCTCATCCCATGGAAATTGGTGAAAGTTTAGATGGAACTCTCAAATCTCGAAAACGAAGAAAAATGTCTAAAAAGCTACCCCCTGTCATTATAAAGTATATTATTATTAATAGATTTAGAGGGAGGAAAAATATGCTTGTTAAGCTAGGAAAAATAGACTCTAAAGAAAAACAAGTAATATTAACAGAAGAAAAAATGGAACTATATAAGAAGCTTGCACCTTTGAAAGATTTTTGGCCAAAAGTTCCTGATTCCCCTGCAACCAAATATCCCATTTATCCACTCACACCAAAGAAGAGTCACCGAAGAAAGTCAAAACATAAATCTGCTAAGAAGAAAACTGGTAAGCAACAAAGGACAAGTAGTGAAAGTATTAAAAGAACTTTATCTTTTAGAAAAAAACGGCCCCATGCTATTCTTTCCCTTCCCTCACCATCTTACAATGCTGAAACCGAAGACTGTGACTTGAATTATAGTGATGTTATGTCTAAACTAGGTTTTCTTTCTGAGAGAAGCACAAGTCCTATAAATTCTTCTCCCCCTCGCTGCTGGTCTCCCACAGATCCAAAAGCTGAAGAAGTTATGGCTGCTGCAGAAAAAGAAACAATGCTTTTTAAAGGTCCTAATTCCTATAGTAGTAAGACTGTTAACTCTCGTGTAGGAAAAAGTAACCGCACGAGAGTGCAGGTTAAAAAATCAAAAGCAAAGCATGTCAATCCCTCTGTAGTTGCTAAAAAAAGGAACAAGCGAAATCAAACAAATAAACTAATAGATGATGTAACAAAGAAACCGAGAGCGAAACAGAAACAAAAAACAAATGAGAAAAGTAAATCAAGAAAGCACATAACTCTTAAGGATGAAAAGATAAAATCTCAGTCTGGTGCAGAAGTTAAATTTGTGTTGAAACACCAGAATGTATCTGAACCTACAAATAGTTCTGGAAGTTCTCAAGTACTTTTTAAACAGAAAGAGGTGTCACTAACAGGCTGTGCTACAGATCATCCCCTTTCTGTTCCTCAGTCCACTGGAATCAGTGCACAACAGAAACTGTCTGGCTGCTTTTCTTCTTTCTTAGAAAGTAAGAAGTCTGCAGATTTGCAGACATTTCCTAGTTCACGAAATGATTTGCATTCGTCTGTTGCTTGTAGTTCTATAGGCTCTGGAATCTCAAAGATTAATATTCCAAGATCTCATAATCAGAATGCTATGTTTGCTCTAAGAGAATCAACCTTGATTCAAAAAAATATATTTGACCTTTCCAATCATTTGTCTCAGGTAGCACAGAGTACACAGATACCTTCAGGTATAATGTCTCCAAAGACAGAAGAGAGTGCAAATTTACAAAAAAACTATTTGTCATCCATTGGAAAGTTAAATGAATATCGCAGTTCCCTAGAAGCAAAGCCAGACCAGGTCTGTGCCCCTAATTTTTTGCATTGCAAAGACAGTCAGCAGCAGCTTGTGTGCATGGCAGAGCAATCAAAGCACAGTGAAACTTGTTCTTCAGGAAATGCAGCTTCAGAAGAAAGTCAACTGCCAAATGATTGCTTTGTAACTTCCTTAAGAAATCCAATAAGACAAATAACCTGGGAGCAAAAACAAAGGGGCTTTATTTTAGATATGTCAAACTTTAAACCTGAAAAGGCAAAGCAGAGATCACTGTCAGAAGCGATTTCACAAACCAAAGCACTTTCTCAGTGTAAAAATCAGGCTGTGTCAACACCTTCAGCATTTGGTGAAGGACAATCTGGACTGGCAGTTTTAAAGGAATTGTTACAAAAAAGACAGCAAAAAGCACAAAATGCAAACATTATGCAAGATTCATTATCTAATAAACAACCAAACAAAATTATTTCTAGTTCCCTTGAACATAAAGCAAACAAACGGACACGAACAGTAACATCTCCAAGAAAACCTAGAACTCCCAGAAGTACAAAACCTAAAGAAAAAACTCCCAAAGTTCTAAAAATAGACTCTTCAAGTATACAAAATTCTGGTCAATTGGATAATTCCCTTTCAGATGACAGTCCTGTCTTTTTTTCAGATCCAGGTTTTGAAAGTTGTTATTCACTAGAAGATAGCTTGTCACCTGACCATAATTATACTTTTGATATTAACACAATAGGACAGACTGGATTTTGTAGCTTTTATTCTGGGAGTCAGTTTGTCCCAGCTGATCAGAATTTGCCTCAGAAGTTTTTAAGTGATGCTGTTCAGGATCTTTTTCCAGGACAGGCTTTAGAAAAACATGAGTTTTTAGGTTATGACAACCAGAAGTGTGAAGACAAGCATCGTGCCTCAGACTCAACTTCTTGGATTAGATCTAGTCCTGAACTTTTTGAGAAATCATCTATAGATGGCAGTGAAAATCACTGCCACCACCAGTGGAAAAATAGCTTTCATTCTCTCACTCCTCGATCCAATTCAATAATGGATTCTTTCTGTGTCCAGCAAGCAGATGACTGTTTAAATGAAAAATCCAGATTGAATAGGAGTTCAGTAAGCAAAGAAGTGTTTCTTAGCTTCTCACAGCCAAGCAGTTCAGACTGGATTCAAGGACACACCAGAAAAGAAATGGGACAGTCTCTTGATTCAGTTAATTCCTCTTTCACTACAGTACTTTCATCACCTGATGGTGAACTTATGGATGCAGCCTCTGAAGACTTAGAATTGTATGTTTCGAGAAATAATATGTTGTCGCCAACTCCTGACAGTTCACCAAGGTCTGCCAGCTCACCCTTACAATCAAAAAATGGCATTTTTGCTCCTCGAACTGCTCATATTCTGAAGCCACTTATGTCCCCACCAAGTAGGGAAGAAATTGTGGCAACTTTATTGGATCATGATCTTTCAGAAACTATTTACCAGGAACCATTTTGTAGTAATCCTTCTGATGTGCCAGAAAAACCCAGGTAATTATGTATAATATTTGATAACCAGTTGCTATTTTTCTGTCTGTGATACTATATTTAAAAGCATCATTGTAAAGCTATTTGTAATTATAGACTTAACAAGAAAATTCACTAACTTGTTATACCTAGACAAATTTGAGTTAATGCTTATATTGGGTGTCAATCTGTTTTTACTTAACAATGTATCTTAAGGCTTAGAAGAATGGAAATATTGCTTTAATTCTGTGTTTTGTTTTTTTAATTGTGGAACTGGGGGATTGAACGCAGGCTCTTGCGCTTGCCAGGGAAGCGCTTATTCTATTGAGCCATCTCCCAGGCCCCTGTAGAGGTTTTTTTAAAAAGAAACTTTTAAATTTTTTTTAAAGTATGTTTAACATGCATGTGTTAGTCAAGTTCTGTCAGTATAGCAAATATCTGTCAGTGTAATAAAGTTGAGAAAATAAAACATTTCACTCACAGTGTCAGAGGTTCTAGTCCATGACTGGGTCACCTCACTGCTTTGAAACTGTGATGTAGGAACACACCATGGCAGTGTGTGTGGTGAAGCAAAGCTGCACGCTTCAACAGAGAGACAAAAGAAAAAAACAGGGCCCTAAAATCTTCTTTAAGAGCACACTTGCAGTTCAATCCCACCCCACCCCTAGGGCACGCTGAGCCAGTGATTGAGACAGGTTTTACACACCTGTAATCTCAGCTCTTGGGAAGCTGAAAAACAGCAGGATCATTACGAGTCTGATCTGTGTAGTGAGACCCTGTTGACTCTGTACTAATATACATTAAAAAAAAAACAAAAAACAAAAAACACACTCTTGCAGTATCTTAGCTTTCTCCCACTAAACCCCACTTCTTAAAGTCTCTGCCAGCTACCAATAATACTAAGCTCGGTTCCAAGCCTCTGACACACAGGCCTTGTGGGGACACTCAAGATCCAAACCACAGCAGTGAGCATACATATGTTTTAATTATTCTTTTTTATTCTTTTATATTCTGTGAAGATTTTTAAGGTGTTTCAATTATAAAACTTTCATTTTAAGTGGTTTCAGTATTTTCAGTCATTGCTAGCTTATATAGTTACTAAGGGTACAAATGGGCTTTGGTCCTGCCTTGTTTATTGTTTTTTTCTTCTTTTTTTAGTTTTTCTTTCTTTTTTAAAGAGTACAAAATAGTGAAGAAGAAAAAAAAAAAAAAAAAAAAAGGCAGGGAGATGTCTCAGTAGAATAAGTGCTTCACTGACAACCACAAAGGCCTGAGTTCAATCCCTGGTTCTACCAAAAAAAAAAAAAAAAAAAAAAAGGTTAAAAAAAATACAAAATTTCATTCTAAACAAAGTAATAGAAATTTGAAAATGGTTGTTTTATTGCAAAATGTTGTCTTCAAATTAGTTGTTCAGTTTATCAAATATAAGCCTGCAAAATTGATTTTTAAAAAGGCTATAGGAAATTAAAATGAAGAAAAAAAACTTTAAGCGTTAACTGCTCCTTTCAATAGGGCAGCAGAAATTAGCATTACAATTATCTAAACTATCCTGCATATATACCTAAATATATCTTTTTCCCTTCTTTCTTTTGTACTTTTCCTCATCTGAGTTTTTATTCCCATTGAAAAAATTCTTTCACTTTTATGTAGTATCTATTGTACTTTTCAGATTTTATTTACTCTTTCAGCTTCTCATACTAGCCAGACAATACAGTGTTTGCATATGTGGGTCTGATTTATTTCACTTAACAATACAGTCTCTAGTTCTATCCATTTACCTATCAAAGACACAAATTTATCTTTTTTAAAGCTGAGTAATACTCTATTGTGTAAAAAAACATCTTTTTAAAATCCATCTTTTGGTTGATGGACATTTGAGTTGTTTCCAACATTTAGGTATGACAAATTGTGCTGCTATAAACATCGGTGCACATACATCACTGTAGTATGATGTTTTCAGTTCTTCAGGAAAAAGTACCCAGGACAGGAATAGCTGGCTTGAATGGGATCTCCTATCCTCGCTTTTTGAGGAATCTTCACACTAATTTCCATAGTGGTGGTACCAGTGTACATTCCCACCAAGAGTGGAGAATGGTTCCTTTTTCCCAACCACTCCTCCAGCATTTGTTACTGGTTGGCTCCTTGAACATAGCCATTCTTTCTGGCATAAGATAAAGGGGTTTTTCCAGTTTCCAGTTTTTCCAGCACCAGCACCATTTATTAAAGGGCTTTCTTCTAGTGAGTATATTTGGCCCCTCTGTGTTGTTTAATTTGCATCTCTTGAATACTAATGATGTTGAACATTTTTTCGTGTATTTGCCATTTGTATTTTGTCATTTGTGAAGTGTGTATTCATCTCAGATGTCTATTTTTGGATTGACACTTTGTTGTTTGTTATATATTCTAGATAGAAGTACTTTGTCAGAGAAACAGTCAGCTATCATGTTTTCCCAATTCATGGGTTTTCTTTTCACTCTTAACGATTTTGACATGTAGAAACTTCTCAAAAAGATGAGATCCCAATTGTTGTTTCAAGTATTTCTTATACAGTTTGATTTTTGGTCATAAATTTTCTACCTACTCCTGTGTCTTTTAAGATTTAACCTACTTTCTCCACGAGAAGATTTAATGTTTCATTTTAAATATTTAAATCTTTTATCTATTTTGACTATAATTTTGTGCATGGTGATAGACATGGGTCTGACTTTAGCCTTCGGCATGTGGAAAGCCAGTTTTTCCAGCACCATTTATTAAAGGGCTTTCTTCTAGTGAGTATATTTGGCCCCTTTGTCAAAAATAAGGTGACTGAATGTGTTTGTAGCCATGTCTGTGTCTTCTAATCTGTTACACTGATCCTCTGATCTGTTGTTTTTGCCAGTACCATTATCATTTTATCACAGTAGCTTTGTAGTATAATTTCAAGTCAGAGATTGTGATGCCTCCTTCCTTTTCTTTGTTGCTCAGGATTCCTGTTGCTATTCTAGGTCTCTTCTGGTTCTGGATGAATTTTAGGAATGTTTTCTCTAAATGTGTAAGATATATACTAATGGTATTCAATTCAGGATTGCATTCAATCTGTGTAACAGTTCTTGGAGTATGGCCATTTTCACAGTGGTGGTTCTTCCTATCCATGAACAAGGAATGTCTTTCCATTTTCTGAAATCCTCTTCGATCTGTTTTTCAGAGTCCTATAATGTTTACTATATAAATCTTCTACTTCCTTTGTGAGACTGATTCCTAAGGCTGGGAGACAGCTCAGTAGAATAAGCACCTGCCTGGCAAGTGCAAGGTCCTAAGTTCAATCCCCAGTACCTCAGAGAGAGAGAGGGAGAGGGAAAGCGAGGGAAGAAGGGAGGGAACGAGCGAGATTCCTAAATACTTCATTTTGGGAGATGTTACTTTGTTTTTTGTTTTTTGTTTTTTTTTTCCAAAGTTTTATTGACAAACAGATAGCAATGAGACAGTTTCAAATCATATCAGAAGGACAGTTTCAACAAATAATACACTGCATATATTCTTCTTAGTGATTAATTGCTGTACAAGATGCGGACTTGTGATCCTATTTACAAACACCATTAGAACAAATCATTCTATTCATTAAGAGAATGCAACTATATATCTATCCCAACCTCTTTGAATACACAGATACAAAATGGACATTCATCGGTATACCCCATTTTTTCTAAAGGAATGGTGGGTTTTTTGTTTTGCTTTTTTTTTTTTTTGGTGGAACCAGGGATTGAACTCAGGCCCTTCTGCTTGCCAGGCAAGCACTTATCCTACTGAGCCATCTCCCCGCCCCAGGAGATGTTACTTTGAAAAGCATGGTTTCCCTATTTTCTTGATGCATTTGTTGTTTTTGTATAGAAGTGCTGTTGATTTTTGAGAGTTCACTTTGTATCCTACTGTGCTACTGAATTTGATTATTTAATCTCTCCAGTCTCTTGGATGGAGTTTTGGGATCTTCTATGTAGAGTATAATGTCATCTGCAAATAATGATAGTTTTACTTTTTTCCTTTCCAATCATTATTCCTTTTTTTTCTCTTTTTTTTCCCATTATTCCTTTTATTTCTTTCTCTTGTCTAATTGCTCTGGCTAATGTTTCCAGAACTGTATTGAATAGGAATGGTAACAGTGGGTATCCTAATCTTTTTTCTGATTTTATCTTGTTTATTTATTTATTTAGTACAGGGTCTCACTACACAGCTCAGACTTGTAGTGATTCTCCTGTTTTCAGCCTCCCCAGTGCTGGGATTACAGGCACACAATACCACACCTGGACTCAGTTGCTCACTCAGTGCACCTGGGGCAGGGCCAGCACGGCGTATGGGGCCAAGGATTAAAGCCCCGGCCCCTATGCTTGTCTAAGCAGGTGCTTAGTCCACTGAGCTATTTCACAGGCCCTTTTTCCAGATTTTAAAGTGAAGGCTTTCAATTTTTGTCCATTTAGTATGATGTTGGCTGTCGTTTTGTCATAGATGTCTTTTATCAGGTTGAGGTAAAGACTATCTCCATTTTTCTGTAAGGTTTTTATCATGAAAAAGTGTTAGATTTTATCAAGCTTTTTCTGTATCTATTGACATGATCATGTGATTTTTGTCTTTGTTGACATGGTTTATTACATTTATGGATTTGCATATATTGAACTATCCCTGCATTCCTGGGAAGAATCCCACTTGGTTGTGATGTATATCCTTTTTGGTGATTTGCTGCATTCTGTATGCTAGTATTTTATTGAGGATTTTTTTTTGCATCTATGTTCATGAGGGAGATAAAACTGTAGTCCTCTTTTTTGGTTGGGTTCTTCTCTGGTTTTGGTATTTGTCTTCAGGAATGAGTTTTGGAGAATTGCTTCCTTTTCAACTTCACTGAAGAGTTTTGAGAAGAGTTGGCCTTAATTCTTCTTTAAATTTCTTGTAGAATTCAGCTGTGAATCTATCAGAACCTGAGCTTTTCTTTGTTCATAGGTTTTTTATTACATTTTCACTTTCATTCACTGATATTTGCTTATTCAGAATGTTTA